CGTCCATCATCATCGAACAGGAGCCAAAGGGGAAGTGGCTCTGGACCCTCTTGTGGAAAGAGGGGGCAAGAAAGGCCTTGGGAGAGGTGACAACTATGACAGCATGTGGGCACACAGGCCAGAGGGTGAAGGACTGAGTGAGGAGAGGTTTCCAAATCTCCTCCTCCAGGTGGTCAGGGGCAGCCAGGATCAGGCAGGAGGGTGGCCAGGGACCTACCTTTCTCTAGGCCTGTGATCTCCACGGAGAGCCTCGATGGAGGGATGGCGCTGGTGGCGAGAATCCAATCTCCCACTTTCCTTAGCTTCTTGTACTCCACACGGAAGGACTGGATTGGGAAGCCTCCATTCCCACGGGGAATCCAGGTCACATACACGGAAGTCTCAGAGGCCATGGAGATGGTGGGCCTGTCTGGAGCTTCCGGGGCTAGGGAAGACCATGCACGGTGAGGAAGGCGTACTCTGTGATGATGGCCATCTCCCAGCTGGACCTGGCCTGCCCCACAGTGCTGCCCTCACTGCAGGCCCAAGCCCAGCGTCTGCATCAGACCTTCCATAGGTACCCATGCTGCCTTCTCCTGGGAAGACCCTCAGACCAGCCTGTGCTTATGCAGTCAGAGTTGGAGGCCAAGGGCCAGCTGTTTTCCCTCGCTGCTCTCTGTCCCACAGGGTCAGCTGTCTGGTGACAGACTCTAGTCTTTATTTATTTATTTATTTTGAGAGGTTTTCGCTATGGGGCGCGTGCGCTCGCCAGACAGAGAGAGACATAGAGACAGAAAGCGAAAAATCACCCTCCAGAGGGGATGGCCACGCCGCAATCCCTTCTCCTCCATTCTCCTCTCGGGATCTTGGGCACGCACACACATGTGCCCGGCGTGAGTTTTAAGCCACTGGGTCCAGGACACGAACTGTGGTCGACTATGTGGGAGTCCAGCAACATAGCCATTACGCTAACTGCTGGTTCCCTTTGGTTTTTTTGAAATAATTATTTACCTATTTAATTCCATTTGTTATTATTATTATTTTTTAATTTGACTAGAGAGAGAAAGGGAAAGCAAGAAAGCAAGCTGCCAGGTCCAGGACTTGAACCGTGGTCAGCCATGTGGTCAGTGCCTTTAACCTACCGGCCCCATGCTTTTATGTTGTCTTATTAGGTTGTCTAGAAAGTCATGACATATTTTAAATGGTTTTCTATGCAAAAATGTGTCATGACTGTCCAAACAACCCAATAATTGCTGAAGTGAGAGCTCACCAGAGAGAGAGAATCTCCCAGTGGTGCTGAAATCCTTTTCTCTCCATTTCTCTGTCCCATCAGGATTTGGGATGCACATGCTCCTGGCATGTTTTTCAAGTTTCAAGTCACCAGGATCAAGATTCAAACCAAGGGCTTAAGGGCTGCACCATGTGGCCAGCCCATCCAATCTTTTATTTGAAAAGCACCAACTTACATCGTCTCACTGCGGTTAACTGGGGAGATGCCAAACAAATGTCAAGAGGGATTCTTGGACCTACAGAACTAGGACCCTGCTGCACCTGTGGCCACGGGGCCCCGAGACCACGGCAGTCCTGACCACTCCTCACCCCTCCTGTCATGCCCCCCTGTGGCTGGGGCTTACGAGAGAGGCGGCCATGGTCTGGCTGGCTGCTGCTCTGGGGACTGGCTCCAGGGTCATCTCTCTGGATCTGCTGCTCCTTGCTGGCTATGATCTCGGGTTTGGGACGCCGACCTGGACGGAAAAGGGTGGAGATCAGCAGGGAGGAGGGTGCACCAGGTCTCCCTGCCTACACAGCCCTTCCGACGGAGACTCTGCCAAGTGGTAAGACTAGGCGATGCAGACAGGAGTACAGGACACTGAAGGTGTGGCCTGAGTCCCAGTTCTGCCCAACTCTGTCAAGGTATTGCTGCTGCGTGAGAGGGACGAGGTACCAGAGCGGCACCTAGCGACTCTCCTTGTGCAAGGCAGGGCCTCAGTCCGAGCACATAAACCACAGGGAAGCAGGACTTGGAAGGAAAACCAAAGTTCCAGACGGGCAAGGTGAACAGGGGTTCCCACATGGACCTGGTAGAGCCAGCACGGGCCCATGGAACAGGGTGCAAGGTCTGACCCTCACCTGTCCGGAAGGTGACCATGGCGGTCTGGCCCTCGCCGGCACAGTTGTAGGCTGCCATCTCCACCTCGTACAAGCTCCCAGGGTCGAGTCTGGTGAGGGTCAGGCGATGCTGGCTGGCCGGAATGCCAGCGATGGTCCAGTCATCAGAGGAGTTGGTGACCTGCTGGAGAAGGTGGCTGGTGTCAGGACCAGCTTCTCGGCCCAGGGCTACAGGAGGGCTGTGGTTTGCAAGGGGAGCACAAGTGAGCCCAAGAGGGTGGGAGGCAGGGGTGGCTGTGAGCCAGGCTGTGGGATGTCACCAGCCTTACTGGCACAGTCATGCCAGGCTCCCTGACCCGTCACTGAATAATGCCATTAAAGAAACCTCAGTAGGAAAGGTCTGAAGGCCTGACTGATACTGGTGAGAAGCTCAATGAAGACCTCCTCCCCGTACTTCCCCAATCCTCTTTCTCTTTGCTGCATTTATACCAAACACAGTTTCTTCACCTTATATGCTAACGAGACAAGGAGAAAGATAATACAGGCAGCCGTGCAAACGACACAGCGGCCCTTGCCGAGTGCTCACTATGTGCTAGGCAAGGAACGCTGCACCATCACATGCTCCCTCATAGCTGGCAAGAGCTCAGTGTTAATAGTGTCCCCACTTCACAAACATGGAGACGAAGGCCTAGAGGAACGAGGAATTCTCAAGGCCGTATCGCTAGTGAGTGCAACACTGTGATGTCACTCCAAAGGGCATGCTCAGCATGGTAACCTTATCCTCCAAAGAAAAGTCTGGGAGCAGAAGGTCCTGGGTTCATATCCCAGTTGTGTAACTCTGAGCAAGTTCCTGAACTCTCGGACCTTTGAACTGTTCATCTCTAAAATAAAGCAAATCAATCTCTTGGGTTATTTGGAAGATTAAACTAGACAGTTTTTAGACAGGACCTCACTTTGGGTTTGGCACATGGCAGGCTCCCATCAAATGCCTGGGCCTTTGTCTGTCCCTCTCCACATCCTCTGTCCTCTGACGCTTTTGTCATTTCAGTTTTCTTCTCCTCTCCTCAGTTCTTGCTTAGAACATTTTTTTGAAGAATTATTTTATTTAACTTTATTTATTTTATTTACTTATTTGTTGGTTTGTTTTAATTTGACCAGAAAAAAAAAATAACAAAACAGAATGAGAAAGAGAGAGAGAGAGGGAAAGTGAGAAAGCAAGCTGCCAGGTCTGGGACTTGAACTGAAGTTGGCCATGTGCAAGTCCAGTGTCCTTAACCACCACGCCACCTGTTGGCCCTGCTTTGAACATTTAAAAAAGTTTTTACTGTATTTTATATATTATGGAGGACACATGCGCACATTAGATAGAAGCAACATCGACAAGGACTCGTCACACTGCATTCCTTTTCCCCACCCCTCCAGCTCATCAGGATCTTGGGCACTCAGGCATACACCTGGCTTATTTTCAGGCCAACTTTGGGACCCACACCCACAATCAGAAATGTAGCTTTTAGCACTGCGGTCCAGGACGCTACTAAGCGCACCACCCAGTTGATCCTGTAGAACTTAAGAAGTGTGAATGAATTGCAACTATTATAGATTAATCGTTAATGGCTCCAAATTCTTAACTCTTTAAATATATAAATAGATAGATAGATAGCCAGACAGATGATAGATACAGGAGCTCCAGGCTCCCCAGCAGGTGAGGGGTCATCCACCCCATCTTCCAGGATGAAAATATTAACTGCCAACTCTGCACATCTCAGAGTTGTAC